TCGGCGGAAGTTTGTTATTACGGTATTGTTGACGCAGCGTTTGTTATATTTGCATATCATGCACGGCACATTGCGTTTATTACGGTTTAATGATAATTTGCGCAATTACACGAGCATTGTCCGCCGTTTGAGCAAGTCCATTTCGGAACGTGTAATAATTAGTTTACATTATTACGTTAATGCTTGTTTTATTGCACATTCTATTTTAACATTTAGTGTTATATTAACGAACGGACATTATAATTGAAGAACTTTGTAGCTTCAACTGCAATATCGAATGGCTCTTGTGTTTTCTCTTTTAAAATACTTGCGGAATATATCGAGAAAAAAAAAGAACAAATATAAAATATAAATTGAAACGTACACACACACAGAGAGAGAGAGAAAGAGAAAAAGAAAATATATTCTCTCTACGCCACGCACACAATTTGTTTTCTTTACAAATTCAACACGTAATTGCTTTAAGTTTCTCTAAGTTTAATTCTAAAAGACAACCAGGACATCGATAAACGGAAAGCCGTAGAATGGAAAAAACGACGAACCGTATCAGTCGGTTTTTTTTGTTTTTTTTTACGAGACACCGTCGCGCCGTTTAGACAGATCTGTTATTCCCACCGCGCCGATTGGCTGTACACGTCGATGCGTCGATATGAGCGGACACACGAATTGTCGAGTAGATATCCACGCGTGTGGCGGATCGTTGTTCAAAAATCGCTGGGTTCGCTTAACGAGACTGTTCTTTGTTCTTGGCGTATTTGTCGACCTTTTTCCCCGATTCTTCGACAGAAACTAATAGAGGCGGATGCGCGTCCAGGGGTGGTTTGTATTACCTTGGAACCCTCTGCGAAACGAGATTTGGGGTTCCTCTAATAGAAATATCTGCTCTGACATGTGCTCTCCGGAATTTCACGCTAATTTCCCGCAAATTACCATTATTTGATCAAGTTCGAATTGATCTTGTTTCATTGTTTAAAGAAATTATGAACGATTAGAAATAACAATTTCTACGAGAGAGAGAGAGAGACACGCGTAAAGAAAGAAGAATGAAAGTCTTAAAACGGTCTGCATACTCTCAATATATATATATCACGTGTTCAGAATAACTGAAGAACATAGAAGATACGCAACAAGAATAATTGCATGCGCAAACTTTTAAGCAACTATATTCTTTTTGCTCTTTTGCTTTTGTAAAACTTTCTGTGCGGTAGCAATGATAAAAGAAGCATTAAAAACCGGCTTTCTCTCTCTCTCTTTCTCTCTAGTGGACACACGAAAAACCACATTCATGTACGGGGACCCGGTGCGGACGAGAACGAAATGCACGACTCAGAGACAAATCGGGTTCTCTCGGGCTTTAAAAAGCCACCGATGTATCGTAGCTGTTCGATCGAAATTTCAATGGTCATCGTTCTCTCGATAAAGAGACGAGAGAGAGAGAGAGAGAGAGAGAGAGAGAAAGCTTCACCGATGCGGAGTTGATCGGTATTGGCAGCAGGTAGGGTTGGTAGTATACGTATGGACACGGCATGCAGCCGTCTATGTAGTGCTGCCGTATATCTCGTACGGCGCTTTGTGCTTCGTCATTTCGCGATTCCCCGGAGCTTCGTACGAGAATTTGATAAGGCGGCAACACGCTGCTGATGCCCCGGAGCGTAACCCGCCATTTCTCTCCCCTAGAAGTCCACCATTAAAGTATCGTTGCTCGAGATTCGATTATGAAACGCGCCCGATGGAATACCAAGCGCGATAAAAAAAATAAAAAATAAAAAAAATTAAAAAAAGAAAGATTGCGCTTCTTCCAGAAAATTTATTGCACTTTTACCGTTGCACTCAACGCGCAATTATAGACGAGTAACGTGAGCGACTATTCACTTCGTAATAGGCAATCAATTTCGAGTTGGCGTTCGATTTGCATCGTGTCGCTTTAGCGCTATCAATTCCCCGCCGCTTTATAGTTAGTGTAATAAAGATCGTCGTGAGAATTGTAATGATTTCTTTTTGCAAACCGTGAAGAAAAAGTTTTTGCCACGTGCGGAAAGACAATTTAACGTGACGTGTTAATGCCACGTATTTTTCTCAAGTCTTTTTTGCTTTTCCTCACGTTTTCTTTTCGCGCGCGAAAGAAGTGGGATCGGCAGAATGAATCGTATGCCTCGAGGAAACGTATTTCTCATATTTTATTCCTACTGCTTTACCCGTCGCCTTTTTTCATCACGGTTTGATTTGAAGCTCGAAGTCACGGGAAGAGGAGGAGGAGGAGATTGGCGGCGGTGAAGCCTATCCCGCGTTTTGCCTGTAACGGCGGAGTGCCTAAAGCAGCTCACGGGAATTACGAGTTGAAGGCGAAAGAAGAAACGCGGGGAAAATTTGCGCGTCTCCCGCCTGGAATGATGAATGAACCGCTTTATCTATTCTGCTCTCAGATATCGTTCCGACTATTAAAGAAAAGAGACGCGCGAAATTCAACGCGCGGCCTACTTTTTTTTTTTTTCTGTCATTCCGTCGCGCGCACATCCGTCGCTCGTTATTGTCGCGACCTTCTCGATATATAAAATATTCATCAACAATTTAAATAATGCGCGCGCGCTCTCGCGCGCAGAGAGACTGCGCTTCAATCTTATCGTACCTCGCGAATTGTTCATATGCAAATCTCGGATTTGTAACTCGGAATCCGCACAATGGATGCTTCTCGCAATTCTTTTCCGAACGAGGTTCGACAACCTCGCTCGCTCCCGGTCGCTCCTTCGCGAGCGAGCGGCGTCGTCGTCGTCGTCGTCGAATCGATAGCGGGTGGATAATCCAATACGGATGCAAGCCGTTTCTAGAAGAGAATCGGAAGGTATCAGCGACTATGTACGTATTACCGGCTAATCTCGGAATGTATATATATACATATATGTGTGTGTGTACATATATACTCTACCTGCGCGCAGTATATATGCGGGAGTTATCAAGACTCGGCCGATTTCGCGTTCGTAAATCTTGGGGCGCGGGAAACTTGACGGGCGAGCCAGCCGTAAAGGAAAACACAATTTTCCGTCAATTTTGCTTTCCGGACGGGGCGAGAGTGGCAATCAAGCGTCACTTAAGAACGCCGCCGTATTCGCGCCCCGTTTTACGATCCTCGTGGCAAAAAAACGCCGTTTCCGGCGAGATTGAACAATCCCGCGAAAATGCCAAGTCTCAGCGATGTCCGTCTGATATAGCCTCGTTGGCCTCTCCGCGGATCGAATTCTTCACCGAAACGCTTTCCCTCCTCCCCCTTCTCCGCGTAATTTCGCCGCACGTACCACCTATCTACTGTATAGATTTGCTCTCAGCGCACCGTCGAACGTGTTACGGCTGAGCGATTTCCGCGATTTTGCCCGGTCGATCCGAATTTATTAGCCCCCTGCAATCCAAATGCAAATAACACACGGCTCAACGCGACCGTGCGTGTATTTATATTTATTTATTGTATCTCGCCGATGTATCTCGCGCAAATGGGAATTGTCGTGTGTCTGGATAAGATGTGACAATCCCCGTATTATATATACATGTATATTTACGATCTATTTCGAAATTTATTCGTAGAGACAATCTTGCGAAACGAATGGAGGAGAGAAGAAAGAAACGCGTGTCCGGACGTAAGTATATTCGAATAATTTATATACGCGCACTGCGTCTCGAAAATGTATTAATTGCGTACGATGTGTGTTACGTATTCCGAGTGTTCGAGTTCGCACAATGTTTGCCAGGGATTTAAGAGGAAAAGATTTAAGATCGTGAGATTTACGGGGAAAAAATCTCCATAAATCCGTAGGAGTCTGTGTAATTTATATCTTTGTGTTTTTTATATCTTTTTGTAGACGCAGACACTTCGATCTCGCGTTCAATCTCGAAACGCGGCTCTCGTATATATAATGGCTCACTTCTACAGATGTGTACCAGACAAATTATCGAATTAGGACTAATCGGCGTTAATTGTTTTATAATTGCGCGTCTATCCCCGTACGGGGAGATGGAGGCGGAGGAAGAACCGCAAAATACGCGGTTTAGATTAATGAAGTCGGAAGGGCGCAAGAAGGGCGTCTCTTCTGAGGCCGGCGGAGAGACAGGAAGATGTAATGAGAGTAGTTTACTACTTAATCGGAGTTTCTCGCGAGATATTCTCTCCAACTACTCCAATTAACCCGGCGTAAAATCCGATTGTGAATAGGTTCAAGGATAAATTTGGCGCTATATCGATTAACCGTCTACCTGTCAGACATCTCGACTCTGCGAGTTAAGGGTCCCATTAATAGCGCTTTCTAAAGATTCATTATGTTAATTACAGAGCGCGCGCTTAATGCGCAAGAAGGCGGTAATTATTTATAACGTTGACGTGTAATATCCTTGAGGATCCTTGTATCAAAAAGAGAGAGAGAAAAAAGACAATCGCGGGATTATTTGCCGCGCCGATTCGACGTGCAATTATCATCACGAGAGCTGTTTGAATTGGATCGAATATTCCAACGCGGCAACCGATTCTCTCTCGATTGCCGGCAAACAGACGCGTTGAACACGTAACGCGCGAGCGTGTAACGGTATGGTCGATGTTTGTGTCTCGGCACGGTCAGCAACGTTTAACGCGAGATTGACCGACGGACGCAGTTTGCGCTGCGGAAAGCGCTCTGCTCGACGGGTCGTTCAGGGTCCCGCGCAGGAAGCCGCCGAGGAGGGCCTTGATAGGCGTCGTTATGCCTTTGGTGAATGGGACAAATTATATTGCGGAGAAAGGGAAAGAGGGAGAGCAGGCACAGCACGGAGAGTATTTTTATTTATAAGTTTTCTCTTCTCCCGCGCGCAGAAAGACAAAAGCGTCATAAAGAACACGTTCAGGAGTATTTTATGAAATGTATAACTTAAATATACAATTTTTTCCATCAAAACGTGTTGTTTCTCTTTTAAATTAAAATTAGTGTATACTTCTGAACTATTTTAAATTATTGTATTATAATCAGTTTTTTTCTCTCAATTCGTTATCTCGCAGTGTAGATCGGCTCCTCGTCGCACTCGTATTTGTACGCGCCGAACGGTTGATGATTGTGAATGTTATTCACTGCCATGTACGCGTAAACGCGGGGATTTCGCGGTCCGGGCACGTAGCGTCCGTATCGGGACAGAATGAGAGCCAGAACGGGATTGGGCGGTGGATGTAGCTTGCTGTTGTAACCGTCGTTGTTCAGAGTGCGGCTCAGGAAACGATCGAGGATCTTGATGGTCGCCGTTATGTCTTGCGGATGATGACGGTGATGGTACGTCGCCAGCTCGGGTCCCTCATGATATAGCGGTGTATCGTCATTTGGTTCTTCTGTCAGATATCCGTCGAGCGTCTCGATATCCTGATATGCGATTCGTCGGGGAACGTGGCGTTGATGGGTACCTCGTGACTCTAATAATGTCGTCTTCGTTGTCGTTGTCGTCGTCGTCGTCGTCGTCGTCGTTGGTGATGAAGGCGAGACGTTCAGCATTTTCGTTGAGAGCCGAACGTCGTTCTGGTGAATTTCCTCGGGGAATCTTGGCAAGCGCCGTGAAAAAAGGATATGTGTAATCCGCTCAAGAGAGTGAGATACCGTGTGAGAGTGCTTTTCGTCTCGAAATGTACACTGACAAAAGTGATTTTGTACAATCCCGTCTATTAGAGGCTTCAATATATCTACTGAAGTGCCTCGTTTTGGCAACATTTTGCTACAGTATAAACTTTACTTGATTTTTCTGAGTTAAGAAGGTTTATTATTGACAGTTGTTATATACTTTTCAGGTAATGTAAAGAAAAAAAATATGCACTACGCAATATACAGATCAGTCTACGAAAAGTAAGTTAAAATAAAAGTTTAAATAAGGAAATATACTATTGTTATAAGATTGTTTGTGTTTTATATATATATATAGTAATGCACAATTTCTTTATAAAATCGTTCGCCACGTAAACGACGCATTTTTGAGGTAAACTGTAGACACATAAATATCTTTTGTGTTAACATAACACACCATTTTATTTATGTTGTCATTGAAAGAGAATCAACAAAATATTAAAATGAGAATGTAAACATCTTTAATATTTGCCTGACATCTAAGTAAGTACATTTTTGCAACATGTCATTCATTAAGATGTCACATGTATTACAATGTTATATTATTATATTTTATATATATGTACACAAAAAATGTTATTTTACACAATATTACATTTTATTGTGTAATCGCTAAGGATATTATGGCGATGTGCCTTATAAATAAAATATGAATAAAATTAGAAATTAAAATATGTAATACCTTTGAGGACCTGTCTGCGACTTTTGTCTGCGATTGTTCACCACAGATCGAAGTCCTGATGGTTGTTCCGTCTGTGACTCTCCGGAGGACGCGAGCTTTCTCGCATCGTTGCTGATCGCGCGATTGTTGTGCTGATAATTAAGATGTTTCGGGAACGAAGAAGACGTTTCGCTGGTGATTGGCAGGTAACTATTCCACGGACGTGCTATATTGGTTGGATCCGACAATACCTTGGCCGTAAGTATGGCACATGTCAGGTAGACGCGCGTTACCTACATTTACACGTCTGTTAGCGTACTCGTCTATCTTTCAGAAAACATTCTTGTCGTGCCGTTCCGCAGTACGGAATCGGCTGCTTGGGTACAGCGGCACAATGCCAGATTCATTTTAGGACCGACAGGGTCGATGTACCCAAGCAACTCTGATGCACGCGACGACGTCAAACGCGCCAACAATCAAGTTCACGGTAATTTCTCTTATAGTCGCACTTTAAATAAAACTTGTAGAAAGAACGAACAAATATGCACGCACGGGAATTTGTTCGGATCGAGAAGTCACGCGCCAGAAGAAGCACGATAAGTAATTATTTTACGAATCTTGAATCTCTCAGGAAACTCTGTTTGCTATTTATTACTAAGAAAATACACACTGCAAAATGGCCGCGCTTCGTTATCTTCTTATTATCAAGGTAATTTTATTATACCGCGGTATTATATCGTTACACGAGTCTGAACGCGCTCGGAGTCTCGAAAGTAGTGGATGTTTTCAGAAACTCTCGTTACCAGGTAGACAATGCCGATTTTGCCGACGACGACCATCCTCTTCCTATTTCGTAAAAAGTACTAAAACGGCGGCACGCACTTCGCGCGCCATTTATACAACGTACCGTCGCGGCCGCTTAAGAGCCAAGTCTTGTCACGGGCAGGAAATGCGTAGAACGTGCATTCTCATCTCTCTCTTGCTTTACGTAGATTTCTAACATAGCTTTCTCCCTTTTCTGTGTCAAGACCGTGCGCGGGCTATTCACGAATTGCCGAGTGTTATTAAGAACTTTCCTTTTGTCTCAAAGATATTGTCGGACGAGACGAATTCCGCGTAAAGAATAGCTTTTATTTAAATTTCTTTTGCTTGTATTCTTTATATTGTTAAAACGTCGTGTATATACCTTGTCGCGCAAATGCACATCCGCGACGCAGTAAGTTTCACAGTCGCAAGTATTCTGTTGCTTCCGGAAGAAGTGGATTTGTGTAAAAAAAAAAAAAATTTAGAAAACAGTCGCTAGGTGTCACAAAGTGCGAAAAGGCTAGTATGTAAAAGTCTAATATATGTAATGTGCGTAAGAACTCGACAAAAACGTGTGTGCAAATAATATACGCTAATGTAATTAAAACGTATTTTCTTAAAGCGCGCACCACAATATATAAGATTCTTTTTTTCCTATTTTGCCTCTTCTTTCTTTGGCTAAGAGATGCCAAGTTCGAATTTCCTCACGAAACAAACAACTGACACCTGCGTATATATATAAAGAAAACTAAATATACTACTTGTGCGTGCTTTTAATTTTATTGCGTTGAAAATGACTTTGTCCTGTTTGCAATACAACGGTATATATTAAATTATTGAGCGTGACAATCGGATAATCAGTAACCATTGAACAGAATAACAATAAAAATGTCTTTTGTACTTACAGATAATTTCCTTTTTTCGATACGCGGAACAGAAAGCAAGATTCAAAGCGAGTTGGTATGGACGTGCCATCTAGCGGAATCTAGTGGCAGTTCGGAACTATTTGACACTGAAATCAAATGTCTATAGATGGCCGAGTGTTACATTATTGTAACCAGAGAGAAGCCTGAGAGCGGCCACGGCCATAAGAGTTTCTGTCATAGCTTTTCGTGGCCATAGTTCTATTCCGTGCTAAGTTTGTGGACATGGTTCTATTCCGTGCTATGAAAACACCGACGTGGTGGAGATACGCACACAAGCGAGAACCGTCGTCATACATCAACATAATATTAGTGTCCGACCGAAGGTTCGGTTTTGGTTTCGGTTTCGGCCAGTTTCGGCACAAAATTGGAGTTTCGTTTTAGTTTCGGTTTTGGGCTGTGTTCAGTTAAGCAAGATGGAACGAACTAATGGAGGAAATGCAGGAAATACAGGAATTGGAACTAATGAATTCCTGTATTTCCTGCATTTCCTGCATTAGTTCGTTCCATCTTGCTGAACTGAACACAGGGCTGTGCTCAGTTAAGCAAAATGGAACGAACTAATGTAGGAAATGCAGGAAATACAGGAATTCATTAGTTCCAATTCCTGTATTTCCTGCATTTCCTCCATTAGTTCGTTCCATCTTGCTTAACTGAACACAGCCTTGGCAGCGAACCGGCCGGAACTACTACTAAAACCGAAACTTCTTTCGTGTTCGTGAGTTGTCGACTTGTCGCGATAAATAATAACCAAAGGTTAGATAGAAGTTATTTCGTTTTTTAGATAAAAGAAAAAGTTTGTTTTTGTTTCCTTAATCTTGTTAAGTACAAAGTTTTTTTTTAACTATTTTTTGTTGGCAACTTCATAATTATTATTATGATAATGCGTGATTATATGCCTTTGAATTAATAATAGGTACTTGACATGTTGATATTTTTTGTTACAAACTCAAGTTTCAATTTATTTTTATAACTAAAACTTTGACTGTCAAAGAAACTGTAATAATAATTGTGTGATATTAGTACAGTACTGATATTGTGTGTGTGTGTGTGTGTGTGTGTGATAATAAAAACTGCATTAATCAATGATTTCCTTTCTGTGTGAATTACACACCTCACCTCACATACAGAAGAACGTTTGTGGTACTTTTTTTTGTTGATTGTTTAAGAGCAATAGAGTTATTTGTTTATCGAATAAGGGCTTTTTTAAACACATACGCACCTGCAGCTAGCTAAACTTTACAGAAACAGGCTCAAACTAAAAAACTGTAATAAGGAATTACCATAAAAAAAAGTTTCGGTTTTGGTTTCGGTTTCGGCCGAAACTGAGACAGAAACCGAAATTCGGTTTCGGTTTCGGTTTCGGTTGTAAAAACTAGTTTCGGTCGGACACTAATAATATGTCTGCACACTTCAACGAGCGCACATGGACAACGGTCTTGCTTGTGTGCGTATCCCCATCACGTCGGTGTTTTCATAGCACGGAATAAAACCATGTCCACAAACTTAGCACGAAATAGAACCATGTCCACGAAAAGCTATGACGAAAACTCTTAAGAGCCGTCTACAATGGAGAGTTTTAGACCGTAACAGTAAGAAATTGACAAATCACAATCGATTATTTTTCTGTACTTAATCTGTGATTGGTCAATTTCTTACTATTACGGCCTACAACTCTCCATTGTAGACGGCTCTGTAGACGACCCTTTAAGAGCCGTCTACAATGGAGAGTTGTAGGCCGTAACAGTAAGAAATTGACAAATCACAATCGATTATTCTTCTGTACTTTGTCTGTGCCTCTGACGGTCTTTAAGAGCCGTCTACAATGGAGAGTTTTAGACTGTAACAGTAAGAAACTGACAAATCACAATCGATTATTCTTCTGTACTTTGCCTGTGATTGGTCAATTTCTTACTATTACGGCCTACAACTCTCCATTGTAGACGGCTCTTTATAGGCCTGTGCGTTCTCAAAGCCGAAGCACAGACCTTTGCATAATGCATAACGCATCAGACATAAAAGAATCAACCAATCAAAGCTTTCTAGAACAAGAAGTAGGGATGAAAACGAAAAGCTGGATTGGTTGATTTTTTTATGTCTTATGCGGTATGCGTTATGCAAAAATCTGTGCGTCGGCCTTCAGTCTTTTCTCTGATCCCGCCAAATTTCCACAAGCTTTGTATGTCGGACGTTTTAATTCATTCGTGGTGTTTATGTACGTTGTGTTTTGTAAATTAAGTTTAAAAAATGGATATTGGTCCTGCGCCTGGTCAAGCACGTGTTTTGGACGAAGTTGGAGTCAAATGTCAAAAATTGTTTCAAGATTTTCTGGAAGAGTGAGAAAATAGTTATTACTTGAATCTAACATTTATATAAGTATTTTAGGATTTAATAATGTTTTAAAGTTATTTAAATTGAACTAAAAAAAAATTAGAAATGTTTGAGTTTTTACATGTATTTTTTCTTTATTTTTTTATTTCATTTACTATAGATTTAAGGAAGATGGAGTTATTAAATACCAGGAACCAGCTAAGGAACTTTCTCATCCGGAACGCTGCACATTGGAAGTGTCTTTTGAAGACACAGAATCTTACAATCAAACGCTGGCTACAACTGTAATCGAAGAATATTATAGAGTATATCCATATTTGTGTCAAGCGGTGTGCAACTTTGTCAAAGATATAGGAGATTTGCAAAAAGAGAAGCAGTGCTATGTTAGTTTTGTGGATGTGCCAACTAGACATAAGTTGAGAGAATTGAATTCTGCAAGAGTGGGCACTTTGGCTCGTATTTCTGGACAGGTAGTACGGACACATCCTGTTCATCCAGAATTAGTAAATGGCACATTTATTTGTATGGATTGTAATGCATCCATAAAAAATGTAGAGCAACAGTTTAAGGTACACAAAAGATTTGTATATATTTATATACTGGCACTGCGATTAGTTTTAACTAATAAATAATTAAAATTATTTTCAGTTTACAAATCCAACAATTTGTACTAATCCAACATGCAGTAACAGACGTCGCTTTCTGCTGGATATGGACAATTCAGTGTTTATTGATTTTCAAAAAGTACGAATACAAGAAACACAAGCTGAGCTTCCTAGAGGATGTATTCCTCGTTCTGTTGAAGTTATTTTGAGAGCTGAGATGGTGGAGCTAGTGCAAGCTGGCGACAAGTGAGTTGAAAATAAAGATATATTTAAATGGATACAGTGTTATAAATATATTCTTCTTTTTACAGATATGATTTTACAGGAACTTTTATTGTAGTACCAGATGTCGGATCATTGTCTCTGCCGAGTGCTAAGGCAGAAACTAAACCAAGAAATAGAAATAATGAACAGGGTGAGGGTGTAAAAGGCCTTAAAGCACTTGGTGTTAGGGAATTAACATATAAAACGGCATTTCTCGCTTGTAGTGTTACTGCCACTAGTTTGAGAGTAAGTAAAATTACTCCGAGCATGAAGATTAAAATTTAAATTTCCATTAATATAGCGTAATTGTAATTGATATTTTTGACAGTTTGGCGGTACAGAAATGGCGATGGAGGAAATCTCGCAAGAGATGATGAAGAAACAAATGACAGAGGCGGAATGGAATCGCATTTATGAGATGAGTCGTGACAAAAATCTGTACGAAAATCTGGCTTCCAGTCTGTTTCCCGCGATACATGGCAATGAAGAAATTAAGAAGGGAATTATTCTGATGTTTTTTGGTGGTGTGCCAAAGACCACGGAAGAGGGCACATCGTTGAGAGGGGATATTAATGTCTGCATGGTTGGCGATCCCAGTACCGCAAAGTCTCAGTTTCTCAAATGCGTGGCCGATATCTCGCCTAGAGCGGTTTACACGTCCGGAAAGGCGTCGAGCGCAGCTGGCTTGACGGCCGCAGTTGTCCGAGACGAAGAATCCTCGGATTTCGTTATAGAAGCTGGTGCGTTGATGCTCGCAGATCACGGCATCTGCTGCATCGACGAATTCGACAAAATGGATCCGAGAGATCAAGTCGCGATTCACGAAGCTATGGAGCAGCAGACAATTTCGATTGCTAAAGTAAGAATATCGATATTTTTCTAAATGTGTGTATAAAAATTTTATTTTATTCTAAACAGTTTTTGATATTTATGCATGTGTTATCTTTTAGGCGGGTATGAGAGCAACTTTAAACGCTCGAACGTCTATACTAGCGGCAGCTAATCCCATTGGTGGACGATACGACAGAAGAAAATCTTTGCAACAAAACGTACAGTTGACTGCGCCTATTATGTCAAGATTCGATTTGTTTTTTGTCGTGCTGGATGAATGCAACGAAATCGTTGACAACGCGATCGCCAAAAGGATCTTGGATCTACATTGCGATAATATGAATGACCTTCCGATGATGTACAAACAAGAAGAGATTATCAGATATATCAATTTTGCCAAGCATTTTAAACCTGTTTTAAGTCAAGTAAGAAGTGTGTTAAAAAGGAAACTATTTGTGTCGCAACATTGTGTTAATTAATGTCAACTTTCTGTAGGAAGCTGCTGATCTTTTAGTCGCAAGTTACACAGCTCTCAGACAAAGAACAGGTACCGGAAGCGGCAAATGGAGGGTCACTGTGAGACAATTGGAGAGTATGGTCAGACTGTCGGAAGCGCTGGCAAAACTGGAATGCGTGGATGAAGTAACGGTGAAACACGTGAAAGAAGCGAAACGATTATTACAGAAAAGTATAATAACGGTAGAACAGCCGGACGTAGACCTCGACGAAGGCAGGGAGGACGTAGGAGCAGACGCTGACGAACCACCGCCTCTTATGGCAGCACTCAATGCAGTTGGAAATAATGATGTGCCGCCTTCAACACGTACGTGCATAGTTGTACATGGAAAGGACATATATATGTACTATATTACATAGATTTGGACATAATGTATTATATTACATAGATTTTTTTATTTTTCAGCCATGAGTGGAACGCAAGAACCACCAAAAAAGAAGTTAACAGTGTCCTTTGACGAATATAAGAATCTGTCGAACATGTTGATTCTCTACATGAGAAACGAAGAAAGTCGTGCCGAAAGTGAAGAAGGTATTTATTTATTTATTTATTTATTTTGTGACATTAAAAGCTGATTATGACTAAAGGATATTGCGTCATATTTTATATTGTTGTTTTTGTGTAAGAAACTGATACATATTTTCTACTATTAGGTGACAATAAGGGCGGTATAAAAAAATCTGAATTGGTTGCGTGGTATCTAGATCAAATACAAGATCAATTAGACTCGGAAGAGGAGTTGTTAGAACGAAAAGGCTTCATTGAGAAGATTATTGATAGATTGACGTATCATGTACGTATTTTTATGTATGTTTATTTAAACTTAAGATGATTTTAATTATGACTTAATAATTTGTTTTAAATTTTACTTCTATGAAAAATTTTATTTTTTAATGGTTAGGATCAAATTATAATTCCTCTAACAACAACCGATTTGAGAAGGAGAGGCACAGAGGACGAAGAAGAAGAGGATCCTTTACTCGTTGTTCATCCTAATTACGTCATGGATATTTAACGTGTATTTGTTATTTATAATTTTGTAATAACATTGGAAATACGATCAAAAAAGTCTTCTCTAGAAATGTTAATGTATATTTTTGCAGAAAAGTGTATATTTTAAAACTATTTTTTTTTTTTATCTTGGTACAATATAAGAAAATGTTTTTTATTTTTAAATTACATATACGCACAAATATCATAAACTTTATATAAAATTATTTTACAGTATTGTGACGAGATAACATAAATATAGTTTTACATTGCAATATCGAAGTATTTATCCTCGAAGTATTTATCCATTCCTTAAAATCTAAAGAAATCTAATGTAGATACTTAGTATTATATTTGTTTGCCATCTGCGTCTGTTGTGCTTCTGTTACAGTTTGTATTTATTGCATCATCTGTATTCTATATCTTTCAGTACTATAATTAATAGTGTAAACGACTTTTTCAGCGTGGTAATCAAGACCGTGCAAATTGCTCTAAATAATACGTTTTACATGTGTTCAAGACACAGTGAGATATTTGTTCTAGATAGACAAAGAAGCATAAAGGAGCTTCAGTATAAAATCAAATGCCGCTGGTATAGCAACTGCCGCGGATATCGCGCAAGAGAACATTATAGTTTACTATTTTCTAACATAAAGATTATAAATGTTATTTTTTTCAAAATTGCATAAATAATTTGTTTGTTATAACAATGTGATATAAATACATATTTTTTTTTTAATTTTAAAATTTTTCTTAAACTAGGTACAGTTGTAAATGGTGGTGTTGTGTACAAAACTTTGACTTTTTTATATTGCATGTCATATAGTAAGCGTTGGAGTTTTTTTTGAATATTTGATTTTTTTTTGAAGAGAGACATGATATATATATAAACACATTTCTACAATCTCATCGTACACAACTAGATATAAAAAATACTATTTCTGCACAGTGTTATCAGTGTTATCAATGTTTGTGTTTTGAGCAAACGAAGATTTAGCACGTGCTTTAATCGCAAAGGTTTTTACAAATATGCCAACAGTGTGCTGCAGGAACGGTTCTCTATAAGTAAGCAACGTTTTCTTTGCTCTATACGGTTTTGATATTTGGTGACATAGAAAGCCTGAGAAATGTCTACGAGAGAGCTGCCGCAAGTATGTTTAAAATTCACATATAAATATTGCAGTTATTCGAATATACAAAATATTTAAAGAAATTGTCAATAAAAGTTTAAAATTTTGTTTCATTCTTCGTTCGAGTTTGTAAGAAAAATACTATGTTATCTTTGTCGCTATTCGATTATTTTAGATTGTTGCAGATAATTTCATATAGAACTTTGAAAGAGAAGAAAAAACATGTGAAACGCACAATTTTATTTTTTATTACATCAAAACTAGTCTTAAAACTATTATTAATGTATAAAAAAAAGAGTAACTTTTATCATATGATATTTTTGCACAATTTTGGCTCCGTTGCGAAAATAAAAGACATGTAATAAACATTCGATAGGAACGAACGTGGGTAGCATGTGTGGGCGACTTCGCGATTCTGAAAGAATACCTCGCACAAAAGAAGCAGCCCGTTTGGCGCATAGTGCAATTTCTTCATACATTTCTTTGTGGATTTGGACAGGTACGTAAAAAAACTAAATTTGATACAAAATAACAAATGTTACATATTTTACATATCTTACAAAAATGCTATTATGATATATTTTAGTATTGTCTCGTATAAACATTGTACCGAAAATCCATATCAATGAAAGAATGTTCGTCGCAATAAAAGTAGATCACATTTTTTATTTACTTATACATCACACTACGTTGATCGCGCACCGGAATCGGTAAGCGTAACGTTGATTGGCTTGATTAACATTGCAGATTGTTTTCTCAAATAATCCTATCAGCGGGCTGCTGTTAATAATCACTCTGGCCGTGGTAACGCCAGGCACATTGGCGTTGTCTGCATCCACTGCCGGCCTTGGCCTCCTGCTGTCCGTGGTATGTTTTAATATTAATTACAAGCCGCTCGGTGTCAAGCATCGTCCGTTTTTACCGGAAAAGGTAATACTGTTTTTTTGCCACACACACTTGCCACACTTCTCTCGGTGCGCAGTTCACCGAGAGAAGCACGCTCGTATCCGGTCATCCGTTATTCATATGTATTTACCGCGATGCTATCGTAACGTTCGCTATTGCTTTTTCCATCTTTTTCGAAACTAATGGACCGGTTGCGTGCGGAAAAATCACTGCAATGCGGTAGCTTCTCCTCGCAGCAATGAGAAATTCTCTCCACCGGCGCGGAATTTCCTTTTATATTTAGAGGCCTTTATTTCTGTATTTATTTGTGTGTGTGTGTGTGCAGATTATACAAGAACCCCAAGTTATCGTAGAAAACGGATTAAGCGTGTTCAATCCTCTCCTAGTCGGCGCGGTATCGTATAGTCTGATACCGCAGATTTACGGAGCCTTCGATATCTTCAGCGTGCCACTTGTGCTTCTGGCGGCGGTACTCAGGTATGTATATTCAATCAATGAATATTTCACTTCACATATAGAGAAATAATAATATATAGAGAATATATAGAGAAAATATTAGTCGTGTTTGCGTATTACACTTTAACGATTGCAAATTATATATGTATGTGATTAAATTGAATCGACAAAAATTAAAACTAAATGTAACAGTAATGCAGACAAAATTACGTTTTGTAAAAAAAAACACGATATCTCCATCTGCGTAAAACAACGTAATTTTACACTTTGACACAATTTTCATTTAGAAATATTTCTCTCGTACACGTAGTATTGGCAAAGTAATAAATTAATTACACAGTAAATAAATAAATAACATCTTGATTGTCATGGACGTTTAATTAAACAGAGAGATGTGTATATAAATTAATACCAATTAATGTAAATGGTTGATAATAATGTTCATTATATATCACGAATATTTTAGAAGCAGCAATGGAGCAGATTGTACATTGATGTGTAATTACATGATAATATAATAATAACGCCTCGAGGTTACAGCATTATGAATTTTAACGTCAGACAACTCATATAGTAATAAAACTAAACTAAACGCGCCGTGACGGAATCCGTGTCTCGAGATTCGAGCAAGATACGAGAATAGTTACGCGACGAGGGTGGATTATGCGGCAAAACGGGGGATTGCAAAAGCTCTGCCGCATTTCACTCGTCGTTTCAGCGCGGCGCGCTCGCAAATTTCTGAGAGAGGTGTTCACAGAGCTTCTGTTAATGTTTTCCAGTGTTTATCTCGCGCGGTCCCTGAGAAGCGATAAATTCTCCTGCACAGCCTGGCCATTTAACCTTGTGGAGTACATGTTGATTTTCGTCCTTTTGGGTCAAAACCGCGCGAATGTGCTGACCGAGTCTGCGAAACAAATGTTTGAGAGGGTAAATTAATTTCACGTTATTTATGCGAGATCTTTAGTAGTTTTATACAGAAAAAGTCACATTTATCATAAATTTAGATTAAAAAAATAGAATGTGAAAAATGCACGAATTCAAACATTTTTTATTTTTATAATTTATTGAGAGACGTTTTAATATATTTTTGCTATAAAAATCGAATATATTTGCTAATAATAAAATTGTATCTGATAGAATTAATTTTTTATAAATAAGTACAATATAAGAACATCTTTCACAAGATTGATAAATAATGTGATGCAGTAATAGATACGTCAAAAATTCTGACGAATGTCGTTCTTATTGTGAAAAATGATCTCTAGCATAATAGCGAAGTGAGCGGATTGATCACAGTTCTCCAAGATAGAAGGCAAATTTGATGAAAATTGTGATGTGTGGAGAGAGACTCTGGCGCGCGGAATAAAATTCGTCTAGAAAACACGATCTCGGTGTTCCGACCATGCATATTTGACGTGCCTTCACGAAGGAAAATGCTATCCACCGTAGGTTGGGGCTTCTTCTGTATTGATCAAATTCCGGCCGGACCAGCTCTGTCGACGATAACTTGCCTTGACTTGAATTTGTTTTATTCCGAAGTAGTCTCGCTGGTTGTTTACTTTAGTTAAATGTTGGGGCGAGTTTCCCCTCCGTGTTTTTTTTTCGCGAACCTTTGTTTTTCCCACAATAAGAAGGAAAAAAAACATTGAAGCCTCAACGGTGGAATATGTGAAAAATATCGCATCTCAAGCTGCGCAATACACAATAGATATATTGAGCTTTACGACCAGCAGATGTTCTATTAACGTTTGGTGTTACGCTTGACCGCGCGTGCAAATTCGCGATAACACAAAAAACTGACTGTGCTTGCGCACTGAAACGCGCGTATAAACTTTGCGATTCATGCGCAACCGCGAGATTGTGAAAATCGCAACGGCGCGGAAAAGCACCCGTCGTTTTTACGAGAAAAGTTTCTTCTCTATATATTTGCGTGCTGCGCGCGCGAATTTACGAGCGAAGTCAATTCGAGGCGCGGCGTAAATTATTTCTTCACGAGAAACGCGTTTCTGTCATAAAGCGCAGCTTGAACCTTTGCCTTCTCTGATGAATCTCGTCGAGAAAGAGAGAGAGAGAGAGAGAGAGAGTGAGATTCTGTCTTTTTCTATGTACTCACGTATTGTGCTGCTAGACTTATTGTTTTCAGCACAATGCAACAAGTGAGACGATGACGACGACGATGACGACGATGAGCGACGCTGGTTTCTACAAGCGGAACGCGTCCGACGTTTACATCAACTGGGGAAAGGTAGAGACTCTACTCGTGCTCCACTTTTTGCGATTCTATATCCTTGATATTGCATACATTAACCGTCTTGTTGAATACGGATCAGTTGTGCACGCATCGCGGATAATATTCTTTCCGAGAAATTATAGATACGTTTTACTTATGTAACGAAATCTTGCACTTTATAACGCATAAATTTCTTTGGAACCTTGCAAATCTCTTCGCTGTATTAAATTTATCGGTACACAGTCGCACACGTGCGCGCGCGCGCGCGCACATTGAGTTGAAAAATTTAATAAAAGTTTGTTTCATCGAATATCGCGCGCAACGGTATATTTGTTGCAACAATATTTCCTTTACAGTCCCTATTTGAGTTATCGAAACTCGCTTCAAATAATATCGAACACATTCTTGCTTGAATCTATCGCGGGAATCGACACGAGAAAGTGTATAAATGAAGGCATCAATCCGATTGCTTTGTTACGAATGCCCGCAATTAATTTCACTTTTCCAGGTATTTCGAGGTAGCGTTGTTTCTGCCTCGCAGCTGTTTTTTATCGATGACGTAATAGTCGGATGCGTCATGTATCTGGCAATGATAATATACTCACCGGTGACAACCGCGTTTTCGTTTTTCGGTGCTCTTTGCGGAACCGTAACAGGTAGATTTAATTTAATTTTTCTTCTTTATCTTGCTAAATTCCGCATACACGAACGAAAAAAAGAGACAAGAGAATCTCGTTTAATCTCGTTACACGTACAGTTAAATGAGGCGAATACACACTAGAGAACTTTTCATCGTGAGTTAGCGGAAATTGAGTGTGTCTCAAGATAAGGGCGTGAAGAATATAAATTATCATTATCGTAAATCTTCCGTCAGGCTTGGAACTCGGAGCAGACTACGGCGAGGTCTACAGCGGACTGTGGGGATACAACAGTCTCTTAACCGGAGCTGCTTTGGGCGGAAATCTCTTGATTCTGAACGGGCAGACCGCTATTGCCACCGTCTTGGCGATCATTTATACTTCGCTGCTGCAGTACAGCTTACGATCGATATTTATGAAAGTAATTAAAAACCTCCCTTCCTCTTATCTTATGTTCCGATAATTTATAATGGTTTCGTGAAACTCTCTTTCTCTCTCTCTCTCTCACTCTTTCTCTCTCTTTCTTTCTTTCGGCATTGTGCTTTCAGATGCAGTTACCGGTATTGACGTTACCGTTCGTGATAGCAATTTCGTTGTTTCTAAAACTGAGCGGCGGCAAGAATGATCCAACGTTTCCGTGGCCCGTATCGATCACCTTCCCCGAGAAAGCGCGTCACGATTATCTCGCGCGACGCACGGTATTTCGAGCGGTACGTAATATTATATACGTCTCGATCTCTCTCTTATCGAAGTATTTCTTGCCTAAAACTCGAATGTGAAATTTTATTTTCGCGATGATAGAGGCCGAGATAAGCTGCGCACTTTATCATCGCGGCTTATATCGGATTCCGTTCCGCGGGACGTTTATAGTATGATTTTCTGAAACTTTTTGTAAGATAAGACGGCTCTCAGGACCCATCAAAACCACGCCCCACGCGAGGAGCAAAAATTGATTTCTGATCCCTACTCTCGACTTGGTACATGGGTCGAATTGTCGTCTCGACACTCGAAGAGGCTGCTAGAAAAAATTGAATTTTACAATGTTGTAACTTTATTCATAATTAATCGTGGTTTAAAAAAAAAAAACTACAACAGGTTTTATTATAAAGTAATTCGCGTAATTAAAAGTTAAGGAAACGCAAAAAAACCTGTGATTTATTATTCTGTTTTAATTTTACAATGATGAAGAAATAAGAGTTAAGAGCGAGATTAGTGACACGAGATTATTTGCGTTCTGTTGTAGGATAACACTCCGGAAGAACTTGAGCTTGTAATTCAGAAGCCAAAGGATTCAACTCAGGATTCATAATTACTGACTCGTTTCAGTGAGTGACGCGCGTTATAATTACGGTTTATACTATTTACGTAGGAGATAATTTTGAACACATTTCGTGTACCGTTTTAATAACTTAAAAAACTTACGTTTTTTAAATATTTTTAAATATTCATATAAACATATTTTTACGAGTGTTTAGAATGATTTTTTTATATATTATTCTTACAATATACTTAAAAAAAAAAATAGAAAATTAAACATTCATAAAATTGGATTTACATGTAAAAGCTCTTGCGTTTTTGTGAGAAATTTAAATTTGTAAGAAACGTATTGAAAATAACTCACAAAACCAATTTTTCTTTTTAAAGAAAAGCTCTCATTTTGTAATCTATACGCGTACGCTCTCGGTGTTTTGTATTCAGCCTCGATGCTCTCGATTCGACTAAGATTCTTCGTTACATTTTCATGCAACAGCCATGCTAATCATCTTATCTTACACAAACGATCCCAAAGTCAAGAAGAAAGACGTCGAGGGAGGTCTCGCCGCTAGGAGATTCGTTTTTCGGCGGGACGCTTTTATCTTTAACTGAGCCCCACGCAAGAAGCTACAGGTCGATCAATAAAATTTATTTCACCGCTTTCGCGGGAGCCATAAAACGCTAGAAGACCTTTATCTACGCGTCTCGTGACGCAAAATTGTCACATGCGGGAAATAAATATACAAACCTCACCCACCTTGTTTATCGCTTCGTGATACTTATTTTCATACTTATTCAAATCGCATTTTTACGCGCGGCAAAGTGTGAGATTACGCACACGCGACAAGTTTGTTTGGAAATCTTCCAAAGCGAATAGAAACGGCGGCAAGAAATCTGAAGAAAAGGTCGTTCCGAGGACGTTCCAACAAAAGCGAGGCCAGACCGGCGGTCTTCTTCAACGGCGACCTAATCAAACTAGCGAGAAGTGCCTTGCCGCTTGAGAACGACTGCCACAATTCGTCCTCGTTCTCAGGGAATGGGGTGGCTAATGAAGAAAAGTAGAGCGAGAGTTCCCGCTGCCTCGCGCAACGATCGTTACTTTTAACGTTTACTATTTTATTACGTTCAATCCGAGAGAGTCTCGATATCGAGATTCATTCAATCTCGGCGTTTTGTACGATGAGTGACAGAAATGCGTTGTAACGCGCCACGATCGTTGTTAGATTACGGTATTTTTACGTTTGCTTGATATGTGCGACGGGTGAGTATCACGATCTATCTATATGACGTAACTCGTAACTGTGTGCTTGTTGCAGCGCGAGCAATAAAATGATTTATGTCTCGATAAAACCTCCACCGCACACGAGAGCGAGAGCTCCAGCTTCTCTGCGCAAAATCGGTCTTTTCTCGCGAAAATTATGGAAACACGGACGGTTTCGCGCGCGATAATTACGGTGTAGTCTAACAAAATTAACGTCGGTATAATTTCAACGTTTGTCGCAACGTAATTCGCTATTTCGGAAGCAATTAACGGACCAATATCACTTTAATTTTGAACGTGCTCATTAGCAACGGAGCAATAAATGTGCTACGTATATTGATATAATTAAGTTCTATGTAAATGAAAATTTTATATTTTTTACCTTAATGATAGTTTACGCGCCATTGAAACTACAAATTAATATAAAACTAACAATATTTGTCATTTCGCTAATTTTCTTATATTTTAAAGATTATTTTATATTTTTGACTCTGAATGTTCGTATAGTACGGAGAAACTACGCAATTTGATTTAATCTCTCTTCCTTCTCAGACTAATTAGCACAATTTGTATATATACTTGAAAGTAGAGCTGGCACGCTTGCGTGCGGATTAAAACTTATTCGAAGACGTAAAGGAATTCGAAGGATAAACATCGCGGTTCGTTGGCACCCTTCGAGCTCCGATCCAGACGAAGGGAGAAATACTCGTTTGTGTGAGAGACGACGGCGCCGACGTCGGTGGTGATGGTGGTGGTGGCAGCGGCAGGAAGGGGTAGGGCTGAACGCATCCCTGCCAAAGAGGCTACCTGCCTGCCTGCCTGCCTGCCCGCCGCCAACCCTGTCCGCTCCGCGACGCTACTACCCCAGTATTCGGGCGATCGCTAGCACCCGCGCACGCGACATCCCTCCGTCGGGGGTGCGCGCGTCAAGCTGTGTATGCGTGTATGTTCGGTCGTGAGTGCAGCGTGTCCCGTGAGAGCGCCGCCGATCGCAGTGCTCAGCAGCCGAGCAACGTGGGATTAGCGTGGTGACGTAATCCCTCCGCGTGGCACGTTAATCGCTCCGTCAATCCTCACGCGCGCTCTTCTCGTGCCCGTGAGGAGGGTGCACGAGCGTTCAGAAGCGTCACGACCTCTCGCACGGAGACCTAGCCGGATTTCATTGGTCAGCATCCGCGAGACGGAGCAATGTAACCACTAAATGAGGAGGAGGAGGGGTACGAGGAGTAGCGAGTAGAGTACGTGAGCAGTATCGTTGAGGATCGGCAAGTAGCGGTGTGTGGCTATAGTATCAGTGTGTACGTGACAACAAGTACTCGCATTCTCGTGACACCTGAGAGAAGGAGAGAGAGAGAAAGAAAGAGAGAAAGAGAGAGGAAGAGAAAGAGATCTGTAACACTTTACGTCAGTCTCCGGCTCTTTTTCTTCTCTGTTCTCTCTGTCCTTATTGACGTGCGTGTTTTCTCTTTTTCTTTCCTACTCGGAAAAATCTGTTCTCTCTTTTTCGAAAAAAGTTTCGAACATCTAAACGAGCTCGCGCTCGTTCCTTACATTGCGTGGTTGTTCTTACATTGCGTTTGAGTTCTCATGTTACCCCGTCCTCACTTAAAAAAAGTACAATCATTCTCTCTCAGAAAAGTAATTCTATAAAAAACAGAGTATTCCAAGATAAAAGAGAGAGGCTCATTTGTGCTATCGTCTTGTGCTTTTCAAAAGCACAATGACATCTCTCCTGTCATCTCTCTCTACGCTCACATTTAGCTATACTTCTCGTATTTCGCCTGAGAGATGTGTACCTCCCCGTGAGCGGTTTTATTTTTCTCTCGTATTCTCCCCGTGAGGGAATAAGAAAAAGGATTCGTTCGTCGCGTTTTGGATCCGCTGAGAAATAGTCGAAAAAAACGTTGAGAACGACCTCAAGCAGATTGACTGACTCGCGCTGACCCTTGCGAATAAATTAGGACAATGCTCTCTCTCTCTCTCTCTCTCGAGATAACAGCGAGGCGCAAATGGATTACGTGTTCGAATATTCTGGATCGGATTTTTCGCGAATCGAGTTGCCATCAATGTCGAGTGATTGAAATTGCCGAACGATCGCGTATAGCTTCAGCATCATCGGCACATCGACGCGGTAGTAGCACAGGCGGTTTTATGGTCAATCGGATGCCAAAGCGGTATAATGCGTATCGACTGCGCTAGCCTGTGGTAAGCCTTGTTTCAGGTGCTCTGACGTTAGAGCTGACCGGACTAGAGCGCTCGATGCCCGCGCCAACAAGCTATTTTATTTCGCTCCGTCGCTTGCCTCTTCTCACGAAATGAGTAATTTACTCGCAGCCTCTTGCCGCGCGTTTAAAAACTGAAAGACTACATTAATTTCTTTTTACCCCGTCAATATTCTTTTAACACGCCGAGATACTATCCAAAGAGAAGCACTTATCTTGACTTTAATAAAGTCGAGTGCTTTTTTTAACGTTTACAAAAAAAAAAAAAAAAAAAAATTATTTCTCCTCAACGTATATTAAAAATTCTTAATTTATGTTAAAACTCTTCTAAACTCTCTTTTGGATATTGATTTCTACGCGTTACTGACCCAACGAACGTTTTTTTTTTTTTGATGCTCATTTAAAAAAAATGGATCAAAATGATCGTTTTAAATCCCGCGTTGTAATAACGAACCAATCCAATTTCGTAGCCTAATAGGAACTTGCTTGAAATGAGCAGTCAAACCAAACTTCAATTATTCATCTTTCTTTTGACGAGGAAAAAAAATTTGTAGAACATTTTTTCGAAATCGCAGCATTAAAGAAAACTCGCCGAACGTTTTCGAGTTGTAAAAAATGCACGAGTTTATTTCTCGACGTATGTATCACCGCAGAATTCTCATTTCGAAATTTGCGCAATTTCGCGGAGCCCACGCACGAATTCGCGAATTCGCGATAGGCGAACTTATCCGTTAGAATTTCACCGTTTGCGAAAATATTGGAATCCCTAAATTCCGGAGGAAAATTCCGTCAAGTAATTCCGCTTTTGTTTGCGCGGTGAATGATATCTTTGCGAAAATCCTTCACATAGTCGAGTTGCGTGTTTCGCGACCCTCCTTCGCGTTGCGCAAACGGAAAAAACGGGGTCATTAGCTACGTCGGAATGAAGGGTCGGAGAGAAGTAGTTACACGAGAGCGAGTCTGATCTCGTCGCGCGACTCCGCGCGCGTGGCAAAGTCAGCCGATCCATCATTTGCCGCTTTTGCAGGTTTTGCTCGACGACGATCCACATACATGTCGTCGCACAGATCGACCCACCGAACATCTCGATAAAAATTTCTCGACATTCACCGAGCGCTCTGCTTCGAATGATGTTTGCGCGTAACGCGCGAAATGAAAGTTTTGACGCGTCCCTGAAACGACGCTCGGGAGTGCGCTCGGGACATTCGGCGAATCTTCGAAAAAGATAGACTTTTTGCGTTTCTCGGGGACTCTCAAAGCAACCGTAGCGATTACGAAACCGATCGAAACGATCGGAACAGATCGGAAACTATATGAGCTCTACGAAAGCCACTTTTCGCAACGATGTTGTCAACTTTCTTCATCGAAGAAACTTGATAGCGCTGTAACGAATGCTGTGATTTGCAACAAGAGTTTGATTTGACGTGTAACGTAACACCGGATAAATGGTGTCGCATTCCGCGTGCTTTTAATACAATGGAAATCTGCGTGGAAACACAGTGGATCCGATTAAATTCGTTACCCTCGTAGAAGCTGATACTTGTGGAATTCGCGTATGATGGAAACGACGGTCGAGCGAGCGGAAGAAATTTACGGCAACCGCTGGGAATCATCCATTTCGTCGAGCACGGGACATTCGGCGAATCATCTGATATTCGCTATCAGATAATGTACGGTCATCGTCGATAATGGAGCGGTAATTCGAAAACGAAGACACGAAGAATCGCGAAGCTGACCGTCCGTTGCCACGATTCCGTCGAGCATCGATCGTGAAGCTCCGAGGGAGGGAAAAAAAAAAGAACAAATCCCAGATTTCGTCCCGACGAAGCAAACACGCGAGCTAATTGAGCGTGGAATTGCATTTGAGGGTGTACTTTAACGATTTCGACTCCGCAAGCGATGAAAAGATGGTAACGATGAAAGCGCAGGAGTTGAGATGAACGAAGTTATCAGCGGTTTTATCTTTCCTTCTCTTTCTCTCTCTCTCTCTCTCTCTCTTTTTCCTTCTCTCTCTTGTCAGCCGTCAAGCAAGCGATTAGCAGCGAATTAACAACATCAAGACAGATATACTGCCGAGTCGAGATATTTAAGCGAGTGTGAGAGATATTTACGTTAACTACGTTGCGCCGCATTTGGCACATGAGAAAAATTTTGAAAAACAATTTGCAAAAAATACACAAAGCAGTTTTTGAAAATCCGTCGGGGGAGCGAACGAAATACATGAGGAAATTTATTATCACCCCAATTGCATTAGCAAAAAGCGACGACCGCTAATGCAAACGAATCGAGCCAGCAGCTTTTATGCGATACTTGTAGTTATCGCTGTTGGGAGAGAGGAAGATCGTTAGCAGCGTCGCGCCGGAAATCCCGTCGAAGATTAATGAACGACGCGGTCGGCGGAAGAACGTCGCGGCGTATATAGTATATACCCGATAAGCGAATCCGCGCTTTCTACGGCACGGCGTCGGTGACGTCCGCTTGTGATGTTGTCGCGCTTCCTGCAGGAACTGTCGGAGAACAGAAGCGAGGTCGTCGCGACGAAACGGCAGCGAAAGAAGCAAAAGAAAGAAGACTTGTGATCGTTCCGGCAGCGGGCCGATCGTTCCCGCGCTACAAACGATCGCGAAAGCGACACGGCGATCACCACGACGGCGATCGCCGCCGATGAGGGCGACGGTGATGTGACAGCGAAGGCAGGCGACGAGATGACGGTGACGGCGACGCCGGTAACCTCCGATGTCGCCGACAAAGCGGTGTCAACGGACGACGCTGGCGGCGGCGGGGGCGGCATTGAGGTAGCGCGTCTCGAAGCCGTCCTCGCTGCCCTGGTGGAGACTAAGGTGGAGGCAATGAAGGCGTCGTCAACGCTCAGCCGACGTTCTGGCAGCGCACCGGCCAGTCCGCGTCGACCTAGATTGACCTCGACCTCGACAGCCTCTTCCTCGCTGAACCATCACCATCACCATCATTATCATCATCATCATCATCATCACTCGCAGCACCAGCAGCACGGTAAGAAGAAGAGCCCGCATCAACAGCATCATCGCCATCGTCGCAAACGCCACGACTCCGCGCCCTGCGGAAGTGATTATCTTCAAGGGACGGATCATCATCAGCAGAGATTACCTAACGGTACGGTAATTTGTTAGTTCTAAGCGGAAAATTTGAAACGGATACTTTTTTAATTTACACAAAACTTGATTGGGAGGGAAATTTCCAGAATATTTACACAATGATGAAAAATTCATTCGCTTCGTATATTTAAACGATTAAACGTGATTCAAATTTCGGTTTGAGAGACGAAGAACAAATAGATTTTTTCAATAAAGCAAAATGAAATTTTTGTATCGGCGGTTTGACTTTGTTTGTTATTCGGAGCGAGTAAAAGGAATAAATTCGTAACGTTTATAATGTCGACCTCGGGTGAATATTTGATAATTGCGATGTTTTTCTGTTGCCGTCAGGAAAGGGACGGAGAAGAGCCTCGGAAAGTCCTCGAAGTCCTCGAAAGAAGCGCAGGCATTCGAGGAGCCCAAATGTTCTTCATGGCGTCGTTCAAGACGTTCACACCGGCCTCGATTCGCGCTTCGAGCTGCTCGGTATCGACGGCGACCAAGATGTGGCCCTAATAGATTTTGAAAGGGCTAAAGAAGTCCTCGGCGACTCCGAATATTCGCGGCTGTACCGAAGTGCCTGCTCCTTTCCCCAAAGCGCCGCTCAATTGTAAGTAATTATATCAATTTTTTTTTCGACTCTCAACGCTAACAGTACGAAAAAATTTTTGATGAAAAAGAAAACAGTTTTTTTTTATCAGTCTCAAGTTATTATCAAGCTATTTAGGTATAATTGAATAACAAATGATAAAAATCAAGTTAATTAAATTCTTACGCGGCAAGATAATTTTTTTATTCTCATCATCATCGAAATAACATTCCACTTCAATTTTCTATCAAAATTGGATTTGATTCTTTTTATTCTTCTTTAACGCGACTTTTAGAAAACCGAAATATCTCTCGCGCGAGGCTCTTCCCGCGTTTTCTCCGGCGTAGTTTTCTCATTTACGATCTCGTAAAAACTCGCGTGCGCGTATCAGCAAATAAGCTCTCTCTCTTCGGTGTGCTGGCGAACTTTCGCTGTCTTCTCTTTTACGGGGTCGCGGAGTGTGTTTGTTGCCGCGCGTTTACGTTCTTCTTGCATATTCACCGGGATTCGATCGGTCGGCGGTCACGAGAGGAAAGAGAGAGAGAGAGGGAAAAGACACGGTTGGTTTTGGCGTGAGGAGAGCGCAGCACAACCGGTGGAACTGGGTCAGCGCAGTGCGTGGTCGCGCGCCTTCGTCACATGCCGCTCTCACGGCAAATACGGTTTGGCGGCTGAGCCACCTGGGCGACAAAGGACGAATGCGCCGTTGAAGCGTGTAATGAAACTGCGGCCGCCGGCAGATAGCCGTTGGCGATCACGAGGAGGCGTCATCGTGTTACAGCGTCATCGTCCGTTGTCGTCTCTTTTTTTTTCTTCTCTTCTTCTTGCTTTTTTTTTTAATTCGACAGTTTCTAAAATTACATAGCAACATTCGGATGTTTTTTAACACCGTGGCGGCGCGAAAGAAAATCTCTACAACACCACTACTGTGACACTACAAATACGTAGCGTTGAAATATATCGCACTACCGCAATGCGAACAGAATCATGTTCTGATAAATGTCTGCGTGTTGTTTTGTTACAGAAAATAATGACAACGGGAACACACAGAAATCTAAAATTAACAACGCGATAATTCACATTAAAGAAAAAAGCAAGATATTATTTTAACTTTTGAACTTTGTATATATATATATATATATCGGCGTTTGTGTGGTTGTTCTATAAATAGGACAGACGATGCCATTGGCAAGTTAAATGCAATAACCAGAGCGTTTCGCATATGCACGTAAACGATCGCGCGATAACGTATCTCGACAGTTGTTCGTTGACAAATAAAGTGCCGGAGTATCACAGACTAACTAATAATATTAATGGAAGCATTTTTTTTTTGTTCGCTTGTGTACGCGAGAGAATACGTCGGCGATGTCGACTGACACAACGTCGACGTTCACTACTTGATACGGTCCGTTCCGATACGGTCGGATCTACTGGCACATCAATTCGATTCTCTCTTTATCGAGTATCCTCCACGTAATTGAACGTGCTGTCACCGTAGCTCTGCGAGATTCTATTTATAAGTTTTTCACGTTTTCCGATAATCGTTATTAATAGACGTATTTTAAATATATATGTCTATAATGCGCGGGAATTAATTTCGTTCCGTAATTGCAAAACGGCGAGGATAAATATTTATATCGCAGACGGGAGGGGAGGAAAAGAGTAATTTAACGAATAGCGACGAATAAGAGAGCTACAATTGCGTGAGCGACGATAGCACGGTGTGTGAATCGACGACGACGACGACGACGGTCGGCCTTTGTCCGGCCTCACGCCGGCTGTTATCACTAGCTCGAATTTCATCCAAGTCCCTCACAATGCCCTCGACGCCTCGGTTATCGTTTTTCCACTTTTCCGTCCTATTCTAGCGGCGTTTTCTAAAATTATACTTAGAGAGCGAGCCTTGACGGCCTTCGTGTATATGTGTGTGTATGCGTGTGACGTAGATAGTGCAACGATTGTTCTTTGTTCAGCTCGATATCGGGGTCTACTCTTCGTCGGCTTGTTGTGGACGATACCTATATTGCGAATTGCTGGCCCGCTTTTCCACACTCGTTGCCGCGCGCGTTGTAAATCGCGTAACAGTTGAACGAGTTGATCAGTTTTACTGCAAACATAGAGAGAGAGAGAGAGAGAGAGAGAGAGAAAGAAAGAGAGAGCGAGAGCACGTGCGCTCATTTGTTACACGTGTTCTGTGTCCCACATTTATTACACACGTCAGCGAAAAATTAAACATGAAACTCCCTATCGTCGTAAGTAATATTTATTTTAAAACGTTTACAACAGATTTATATTTTCTGTGCATGTATATATGTTTTTATATTCTGCGCACATTCACATAAAATTATTTCGTCTCGACTCGAAAATGTTCTCGGCGATTAATTTCTTTCGTTTTTTCTCCTTCGTTCTTTTCACGTCGTTCAGCTTCTTTTTTTGCCTGGTGAGTCGAAAACGGGGTAACATTTCTAATTCGTCTCAACGTGGAAGTGCGCGGGTGCATGACAATAGGTCGCCCTTTTAGTTACTGCCACTCACGTACAAGCAAACAGCAACTTCTCGAGTTTCACGAACAATGCAGGTACTACTATGATCGATACTCGTTCGTCCTTCTTCTTCGAGCCTTTACAATCGTTACCGTAGTGTTGGAAACGTATTGGAGGTGTTGCTGCATTGTTTCGCGATGCGTTCGACAAGATGTGTGCGCGCACACACAGATGTAGATTTTAATTAATGGCGTTGTCGATAGTTGGAAATAGTCCATTCAGAAGATGGACATGTAATTTCGTCGTATAAATAGCTCGCACAATGAGCCGAGGTTGTATTCAATTTTCTTTTAGAACAATCGTTCTTTTCAAGACGATCCAACATTCGCGGCGAATTAACTTTTCTATTGACGATTGCAAATTAAAAATCTTAAAGTGGCAAAAAAAAAATCTGCCGAGATTTTCAATTCACGAAGAAATCGCGCGAGAGATTTCAGTTTTTAATTTTAAATTAAACGTCAAATGCAGCCGCTGGCGTGAATTTTGTCTCGTATATTGATCGAAAGTAAAAAATCTCGATCGATAACACATCACATACGTTAAATAATAGTTTTGATATTATGCTTGAGCGGAATTTTGAATGCGTAGTTTTGAATTTTTGTTTTTTTACATGCGCGCTTCCCGAATACAAAACGAAGTATTCATTTTTTATTTTCGAAACAATGAATAAAAAAAAAATTGCTGTTTGTTCCTTTCAGTAAAATACATTCGAGCGCGACTTCGTTGCGCGTGAACTTGCCGCGAGGGACTACCGTGCCTCTTGATGACGACGACTACGTAGCGTTGAACGTAGCCGACGAGCTGGAGGAGGAGGAGGAGATTATGAGCAATCCGGAAAAGATGGACGAGCCTCAGGGAAACTATCATCGACCGCGAAGAAAGCGCAAACGTAAACGGCGCAAGGTTGAATCCGTCGGTCCGGAAGAGGAGCTCGTCGATCCCGAGGAGCTTCCGCCTCGTGCACGATGGACGATCGTCGCCACCGCGTGTCTTCTGCTAGCCATGTCTCTCCTTCTGGTCGGTGTCACATTACGGATGGCGCCTATAATCGACGACATGGGTAAGTCAACAATCGTGATTCAACAAAACTCTTCGTTTTTATATGTTAAATGAAGGTCGAGTGGTAACATCTTTTTAAACATATTGATTTAGTTTCCGATCTCATCATCCACTTTGCTGATAAATTGTTACAATCCACAGTTAGTCGCGTTTTTTATCATTTGTTTCTTTACTTTATTGAGTTTGTAAAAAGAAAAGCTCTCTTTATTGAGTTTGTAAAAAGAAAAGCTCTCAAAGATCCGATGAGGTTGGGTAAAATTAAAAAAAAAAAAAAGTGCGTTCTGTGCTCGAATTTTCGGTGCGTTTGTTCTTGCGACGATCTTGCGAATAAAGCGTGCGATTTATTATGCAATACGAACTTTTTACGAGCGAGAAGATGTCTGACCGGGATTGACGCCGAAAATAGGTGGCGCGGATTCGCGCGTTTGTGCGACGGGAAACGAAACAAAATCATATCGGATTACTTCAGGTGAAATATGCAATGCGATCCCGGGAGTAGTGACCTCTCCGCGGATGAAGTTGCCACGCATTAATGATTTAACACGTCTTTACACTATGGAGTTCTGCGAGTGTGCTGAGGGAGCGATATTGTCGCTCCGGCTGATCTGATTAAGCGCAGCGCCGAGTTCTCGTGAATTCTGATTTGCGATTAATCCTCTTATCCACGTTCCTATTAATGAAAGTAACCTCGTAAAAAAAGCTTATCTTCTTTCCCACGTACGTTAATTCTGAATGTAAAAAATCAATGTCTCTCATAATATTTTTTATAATCACTTAGTATCGAGATTACCGTCAAAAGTTACCCGTTAATATATTTCAGTTTTTCTTATAATTATTTAAAACGATTTCACACACACTGAAATTCGATCTCGTTAACGATGACGTAAATTCACAAATAGTTTCCCGATTATTTTTACACGTACAATAACCGCAATTCTCTCAATGCGGAAATGTCGCAATTTGAACGCGCACATTATTAGTGGCTTATGTAAGTATGAAATTAACATGAGTTGCGCGCGGCAGGAGGCGACACAAAGTCCGACACGCGTTCGGGTCACAGTAATTGCCAGGTTAGTTGCCGATGAATGCGATGGCGGTCTGGTCACCACCGTCGTTAGCGGTTTCGCGGTGAACAGCTCCTTCCTGTAAAGTCGGCTTTCCGTGTGACACAAGCGAGCGAGTCGGTGCTTTCGGTTGGTCTCTCTAAAACGAAGACTGTTCCCGCGGGAGAGGACAAGAGGGTTGCTCAGAGCTTTCCACCAATTACAGCTACGTGCGGGGTCGACCGACGACACTTCTGGGCGCAGCTTCCCGACACCGAAGTACCTCGGCATCGGGAGTGTGTGGCTGTAAGGCGTTTATGCACGTGCACGTGTTACACAAACGCGCGCGTACAACTCCGCTCAGGCACAAACGAGCTGTATGCAGCGTGCGAGGTCGAGGGCGCTCCGCGACTCTAAATTAAAGGCGCGCGTCTGCGAATCCTCCAGTCAGCCGTCGGATTTCCGCAGCTGTGCCACCTTCTCTCTTGACAACCGCTCGCGCAATCGTCGCTCAGTCGCGAAAGCTCGGTCCGGAGGACTCGCGAAAAGTGTGTGCGCGTCACGCGCGACGTGTACCATTTCCTCTCTCTCCGCGTCGTGGTGTCGTCAATCTTCTCGACGTGACGAGATCGGGAATCGTCGCGCGCGGGCGTCGGGAGAATCTCTCGGTGACCTTTTTGCGGCTCGATCGGAAACGTCGCGCACGAGAAATGGAATTAAAGTTTCAGCCACCTTTCACATTTCCGTCGCTCGCGTTTCCGTCGTGATGTGAAAATCGTCCGGCCAGAAGATCCTAAACTCTCGTTTCTCTTTTTCCCCGAGCGGGAGAAACAATTTCCTGGACATCCGACGCTCCGAGAGCAGTAAGACAAAAATAAAATCGTGCTTTTCGATAAAATCACGCTGGCGAGAAAAGCGACGCGGGGTTTTAACGCTAACGGAAAGGTCTGAGGATCGTTAACGATCTGTTAAATTGCGACTGTTACACGCGAACACACGCGAGCGCGCTCTGCGTAACGAGATATTAATTGTTTTTTCTTACTCGTTGTCAAAATATAAAATACTCCATTATTTTTTTTTTTTTTCAGAAAATTGAAGCAAACGAAAATTGAAATGCAGTTTCGATATCGTCGTTCGTAACTACAGAAATCCTAAGGGCATTAACGTGTTTGCATGTTGCATACGAAAATGAACGTCTCTCTTCTATTGAAAGAAAAGTTAAATTTTCTGCCTTCAAAATATGTATGTTTTACAAAGTTTGTTATCGCAATGTTTCGTGCTCCACGGTGATATTTTCCAAGTTTGTTCAAACATCGTTTACTTTTTGCGATATTCGCTCGATGAATATATCGAAATATATTATATTTGCATTTGACTGACTAACCGCCAGCAATATCCGATAGAAACGTCACGATACGCGGATGACGTTGTACAAATATACCGACTCGCGCGAAATCAACAAGTCTATAGAGTTTGATACTCAAACTTGTACGTTGGTTTTCGACAATGTGTGATGCTCCTCGGAAGATACACGTCGCGGTGTTATTGATTCGAGAGAAGATGAGATTATTAATCTTTCGCATCTCTCTCTCTCATCCAAACAAAAGATTAATAGAAGAAGATTCATCTCTGACGTTCTTCGTCGAAAATGTTTGGTAATATTTAACAACACACACGCGTCGCTCGGGCCCCGGGATGAAGTTCCAGAAATAAAACGCGATGGACCGATCAAAAGTTGCGCGCGTGATTATTTTCTCGATGTTTCGAAGCAGCAGCACGAAGTTTTGTAAATACCGAATCCCGCATGTATCTCATGTGTTTGTTTATTTACAACTCAAAAATTCGCGCGCGGCGTTTCAACAATTTGTTTTTTGTTACTGCAAAAGTATTTTGAAAAGTATTTTGCCTTTCACGGGAAACGTAAATTATTGACGAGTATCGTAAATTTCGCACGTATTGTCACATAAATTATTGTGATTGCGTTAATCTTTGTGAAAACACGTCAACAGACATACCTATAAATATTTTGTAAAATATGAAGATATTAAATGGGTTCGCGAATACACGTTCAAAAACGGTGTTGTAATTTTGTTAAAATTAACTTCATCTTTCATTTTAATTAGTTAAAGTGCCATTTATACATTTGATTGATCGATTAGTTCAAACGTGATTGTTTGCCGTAATATGATCGATTTGTTGGGTTATAATAGATGTATCGAATGTTATCTCGAAGCGCGCGGAGGTTGTTTGCAAAAATGGTTCCGTATCGATTAGCGGCAGATGCGACCGCGTTCGCAGTTCTATGTGAATGTAACGTTTTTTTTTGTTGACGTCAAATATTTCGCGATTTGAAATAGTTTTAATTACGAAAATGTCTTCTTCGTTTTATACATAAAGTTACCACTTACTATACATATCTCTTTCAATTTAAAAGCAAAGTCAGTATATTTTGTATATATAAGAGACAAGCATTTCCTTGATGCATATTTAACGGATTATACTTTTAAATATTTGAATATCTTTGAATTTTTTTATTCAATTCTAAAATATTCCACGTCTTCATTTTGAAATCGTGTCTCGCGCGTTTTATTATAAGCTTCTCAGGTAATTTTCTAGATTACGTTTTTTTTTTTTTAAGAAAAAATGCTATAGCTGTCAAATAGTTTTCTTCGTTTTAGAATTAAAATGTGAAATTGAACACTAACTGTGTGTGTGTGAAAGAAATTTATGATCTGTCTGTAAAATTTAAGATACGGCTCGTGAACGCGTCACGATTGTTATACTCTCAGCGAAATTACCGAGCGCGCGTCGCCGAACGATCTTAAAATCACGAAGACGTTTGCGTTCCCGCACGTTGCAAATTGCACGGGAGGCATATCTTGCTTCGACAGTTTACAGCATCACGTTACAACGTTACATCGCGCGCACAGGTCGAAACCAGGTCAAGCCCGCGCGCAATTGATTTTCGTTCGATTTCGATGTCGCGCGCGTCATTAAAGGGCATATTAAGTGATCGTCATCGCTGACATTTGATTAAACTGGTTGGCGGCAGTTGATTCATTGCGATCATTCCTACGTCACGTTGTAATGCGTATTCGCGGGTTTTCGCGATCCATCATTTAGTGTTTAATTACTTCCATTATTACCGATTGTGCGCTAATGCCCTCTGAGTCAATATGCTGGAACTGGAGTTTATAATCCCGGCTGATGCATTATTCAACTTGCGAAAGCCGGAATGAAAATCCGCGTTGGCCGAAACTGTTTCGCGTTTCCGAGAAGTTAAAATCCGTTCGAGAGTTACATATCAAGGGAATTTTTGATTTATTTTCAGCGCGCGCGTATATGTGACGTTCCTGACTTCGAGACATTTTAATGCGGCATTGCCTTTACAGATCGAGATTCTATGCAAAATTCGCGAGCCGCGTGAATTTTTCATTTCTGCCTGTCGCGGGAAGAAAAGCCGACAAGGCCGGCCGCGACGAGCTAAAAATTTTAAAAGACCGCCGCCAGGCGTTGCGTTTCACACGGGATTGTAATGCGAATTTGTAATATACATTGCGCTAGGTCAGTGTGCTTGCGCGCATCGCGTCTCGGCAATACCGTAAAATACGTAGCATATGTATCGATCTTGCGTTAGTTAGGAGATGACATCTAGCGCGCAAATTATACATGTCCAGTATTTGCATAATTCTGCGGCAATTCACGTCTCTCTCTCCTCGGTGCATCATTTCGAATAATCAAATGACACCCGCGCGATCGTCGTCGCGATGGAGCACGAATTGCGTTTAACATAATGGCAGAATCGAACGCGTTGCCGTCGTTTCCGGAACGACGCGGTCGTTTAAAACGGTCGAGTGTTTTATGGGAGACGTAAATTGTGTCTTTGACAGAGACAGATATAGAAAATAGTATCTCCGTTACAAAAAGTAGTGCGCGATTTTATGTACAATAAACGCGA